GAGAGAGGCAGAGACACAGGCAGAGGGAGAAGCAGGCTCCATGCAGGGAGCTCAACGTGGGATTCAATCCCCGGTCTCCAGGATCCCGCCCTGGGCCAAAGGCAGGCGCTAAACCGCTGTGCCACCCAGGGATCCCTAATGTTTACTTTAAAACAGGATTCCAGTTCACTCCTAGAGTGACTGGTAAAAATTCAGACAGCTTTGATAATGTTATTTTGTCCCAACAAAAGTGATACACAAGGCTCTCCACGATCTGGTCCCTGCTCACCTCTCCAGTCTCATGTTCCCACCTTGTACTTTGTAGTCCACACTGCAGCCACACGGAGTCTTCTGTGTCCTGCAATCACGGAGTTCTGGCTCTAGGCCCTGCAGCATGCCCTTCTGTCTCAGGGAATACTTCAAGTTCCTCCTTACCTTCCCTGCTCAAAGCTTCATCTGCCCTGCTCAGTTGTCCATCTCATCCAGGCTGAGAGAGATCACTCTTTCTAGAGAAGCTTCTCAGACTCCAAGCCTAGTTGTTACTGGAATCCCCCAAGTAAGCCCCTATACGTGGGACTCCAGGTGAGAAGTTCATGAAGCCAACTAGAGCAGTCTTGCCCACCTGTTTATTATTGAACCATGCCCCTCACCCCCAGGAGTCTTTTAAGAACTTTTTTACCTAATGCTCCTCCCTCTCTCCTCCATGAAATTTTAATACCACAAATATACTATGTGTTTGTTTAGGTCCTGTAGCCCTTTGGAGAGCCTCAAACCATTATCAAATAGCTAAGATTTTACATAATCTTAAATTATATGAATTTTTTTCTCTATAAGGTCCAATTTTTGTCCCCTTGTGGGTGATGTCGTCCCCACTGAGAATACATAGAATAGAATAAAACTCTGCTAGTCCTCTTGAGAGAGCTAAGAAAAAAACAGTTCACATTTTTTTCCTGATGAGAAGTTCATGTCAAAGGCTCAATAGGTACAGGGAGATAAATTTAAAGTATAGATTTAGCAATGAGGCTGACTTTGACTTTAACCAAAGGTGGAGTTGGTGCTAGGGAAGAAGTTATTCTGCAGCAGTGTGGAGAGTGACCACTGAGCATAGGCTACGAATCCAAAGAGCTAGTCTGTAAGGGGATGAGAATAACTAGCTCGAAGGTGACAGAAGGTCTAGGAGGTCTTGTTTTAAAAAGATGAGGCACACCTGACTTTTAGGCTGATGGAGAGTGGGATACTGAGAGACTGGAGAACACCCAGGAAGGGGTAGTGGCTAGATGAAAGCCCCAGAAGAGAAGAGAGGGGACAAGGGAATCATAGGCAGGGATCAAGAGGTAGAGGAAGCTTCTTTCCCTCTGAGATGTTTGGGTGTGAATGTACCAGGCCTCAGGGGAAGTCACTTCATCGGAAGAGTGAGACCAGGATGGAAGGGAAGGCCTGAGGAGTAGAAGACATCTACAGTATCCACTTTGGAAAAATGCGTGAAGCTGAGCTAAGAGCACAGAAGGATGGCCAAATGGTATTAAGGACCAACTGAAATAAGAAGTACAAAATCAAGACACCTGGGTGGCTCAGTGGTTGACCATCTGCCTTATGCTCAGGTTGAGATTCTGGGGTCCTGGGATCAAGTCCTGCATCAGGCTCCCTGCATGGAGCCTGCTTCTCCCTCTGCCTATGTCTCTGCCTCTCTCTCAGTGTCTCTCATAAATAAATAATTAAAATCTTTAAAAAAAGGAAGTACAAAACCTATAGCAGTTTGACGTCTTTCTTCCTATCCCTTTCCAGATAGTGTCTTAGGCGCTAGGGGATTTAGCAGTAAACTGTCAATTTCTGACCCCAGACTGCCATTGTCTGCCTTCCTCAACTGGAATATAAAGTCATGAGTAAGATGGCTTTCCATACTGGTCATGGTGATGAAGAGAACATACAATACTATAATGGTATGACAGGTGGAGGACCTTGCTGGATGGCCAGAAAGACCTGCCTGAAGAGATGACATTTGACCTGAAGCCTGAAAGGGCAACCTTGGGACATTCTGGGGGTAGAGTTTTCAAAGCAAAGGGGACTTGGGCACAGCAGCCTGAAGAAGAAACCAGCTTGTGGTATTCAAGGCTAGACAGCAAGGCTGAATCATAGGATCAAGGGGGAGAGGTGGTGAGGAGGTAAGCAGGGACTGAGTACTGCTGACCCTTGAACAGCAGGGGGTTAGGGGTACGAATACCCTGCACAGTCAAAAGTCCAAGTATAACTTTCAACTCTCCCCAAACTTAACTACTAATAGCCCTCTGTTGACTGTTCATATACCCATAATATGAACAGTTGATGAACACGTATTTTGCATGTTACATGCTTATACTGTATTCTTAAAGTAAACTAGAGAAAAGAAAATGTTACTAGGAAAATCACAAGAAAGAGAAAATACATTGATGGCATTATACTGGGTTTATTAAAAAAAAATCCACGAAGAATGGACAGTAGGGCAAGAGATGGGGCAGAAAGAACAGTTTGGAAGCCTGGTAGATTCTCCAAAGGGAGAAAGGGTCAAGGTAGTTGATGAGGATGAGGGGAGGGCAGTTCAGGGGCAGGCAGGGCCAAAGGGAAGTTTTGGGGAAATGTTGGGAGAAGTCTCGGGTGTTGCTTCAGAGACGTGGATGCTCATTTCTAACCCCAGCAACTCACACACACAATCCCACACGGAAACACCTGTCACATCTGGCCCACCTTGCCTATGTTAGAGGTCCCTCCCTGGAGGCAAGAAACTCTAAGATTACTAGATACATTTCTCTCTGCTCACCCTGACAGTATCTTTGCAGTATGTTTTTAAAAGTGTTTATTTTTTAGAGCAATTTTAGTTTTTAGGTTTAATTTTTTTTATTTTTTTTATTTATTTTATTCATGAGAGACACAGGCAGAGGGAGAAGCAGGCTCCACGCAGGGAGCCCGACATGGGACTCAATCCCGGTTCTCCAGGATCACACCCTGGGCTGAAGGTGGCACTAAACCGCTGAGCCACCTGGGCTGTCCAGTTTTAGTTTTTTAAATAGGCTTTATTTTTTACAGTGGTTTTAGAGCATGGTTGGAGGAGGGAGGGGTAAACAGGTAGAGCACGCAAGATCATTATGGCAGTGAAGCTACTCTGTATGGTACCGTAGTAGTGGATGCACACCGTTATACCTGTTTCCAAATCTATGGAAGGCCCATGAGCAAGCCCTAATGTACACTGTGCACTGTGGGTGACCGTGATATGTCAATGCAGAGTCATTGCATTGCAACAAATGCAGAGTCAACGCCGTGCGACAAATGTAGCCCTCCGGTGGGGGATGTTGACACAGGGGATGTTATGCATGTGTGGGGGCAGGGGTTCTGTGAAAAACCTCTGTACCTTCTCAGCTTTGCCTTGACTGTTTCTAGTATTTTAAAGCCAAATCTTTAGTATCTTATCTATTTCCTGCCACTGGCAGTGAGTTCTATTCTTGACTTACCCCTCAGACCAGCACTGATGAAAACGCCTCTCAATATTTTATAAGTCAGAGGACATTAAACTATCTAAAAGAGTATATTTTTCCTTCCAGGGTTACTGACTTATAAAGCGCAGGTCAAAAAAGCTGAGTGTGGGGGTGCCTGGGTGGCTCAGTCGGTTAAGTGCTTTCAGCTCAGGTCATGATCCCGGAGCCTCCCCTCTCAGTGGAGAGTCTGCTTCTCCCTCTGCCTCTGCCCCTCTCCCTGCTTCTTCTCTCATTCACTCTCTTTCAAATAAATAGAGTCTTAAAAAAAAAGAAAAGAAAAGAAAAAGCTGAGCTTAAACAGCAGTATTAAGGCATGTTCTTAAGGATGCACCAAAATGTCGGCCGAGGTTTTTAGAGTAATAAAAAGGAGCTAAGGGAGAGCATTCCCTTCTGTTCTCCGATGTTTAATTTTTTAGACATTTTTCTTTCATTCTAAGAAATGGATGTAGTTTTTAAGGAAAGGTATTCCTGAGTCTACCCGTCTGGAAGATACTAACTCCCGTGGAGCGGAAGTTTTTTATGTTTTAAAACTTCTTGTGTATTTGAACATTACACACTGTAGGAATAAAAAGCACTAATGTGTTTATAGTGAAGAGCCAGTCTCCCCCCAGCCCCTGCCTCCCTATCACTGTCGCCAGCACAGGAGGCAGCCACTGTTCCCAGCCACATATCTTACAGAGAGGTTCTATTTATATAAACAAATACCTACTGACAAGAAAGCATAAATAGTAGCATATTATATGCTGTTCTGGACTTTTCTTTTTACTAAGCATGTCTCAGAGATCCTTCTCCAGCAGTGGATAGAATTGCCTCGTTTTTTTTTCCAATGTAAGTTGAATATAAAGGTGTGATACTTAAGAAACTTATTTTTGCCGATTTAATAACAAAGCTACAACTAGATTAATCCTTAGTTTTCTGGGCTTTACTATCAAATAGTTCAATGCTATAACATTTCTCTCTCCCCTGTGGCTTTATTTTCATTGCTAAGTTCCCCATTCGATGGCCCCCTCAGCTCCTACATGAGGTTTGACATCATTATCTAATTTAGTCATCTGATCTCATTTTTGATGAGTCAAAATGTAATAAACTCAGATGGCTTGGCTCAGATGTCCCCTAAGGACAAATGATGAAAAGATGAAAGGAAAGAAAATGTATAGGACAGAGGGCTGAGAGTTGGTTGAAGGTCTGAGATTTGAGAGTGTGTGTGTGTTTGTGTGTGTGTGTGTGTGTGTGTGTCTTAATTCCTAGTCAATTATAGCTACATTCATCCCTCCTAGCTTTGTACTTGGAGACAAGGACCAATGCAGTCTTAGCTCATATAATAAGATGAGTGTACATCTCTGGACTGTTCTAAGAAGCCACAGTCCCTTAGATCACCGCAGTTCCCAATGACAGACACTCACTCAGAGATTTCTTTTAAATGCTGTTTCTGATTCTAATTCTCTTTTTCTCTTGAGGTAAGCAGAGCAGACACATTTGCCAAGGATAACTGAGAATGTAAGGATGATCCTTGCCTGGGCAGCCTGAGCGGGCTGTGTGCTAAATGCAACTTTGAACCATGCCCTATAAATAGCTGTTCATTGTCAGCGTGTGTGAAAAGACAAGAGTGGGTGTGTGGTGGTATGATTCAGGCCTAATTAAGTAGTTGCGTCTGCGCAGGGTTACAAGGAATAGCTGTTCCAACTGATAATCTAGTCAGTAGGCAAGGGGACGGTGTGCCTCTGACTGAACATAGACTGAACGAAAGCTCTACCATACTGGTTTTGTCTCCAACCATGGCAAAAATCATCTTGAGGCACCTCATAGAGACCCCAGTGCGCTACGAGGAGGAGTTTGAAGCTCGAGGTTTGGAAGACTGCAGGTTGGATCATGCTTTATACGCCCTGCCAGGGCCAACCACTGTGGACCTGAGAAGAACCAGGGCAGCCCAGGTTCCTCCGGTGGACTCGGTGGCAGAGATGCCAACCCAAGAAGGCAAATCCCACTTCCAGATCCTGCTGGATGTGGTCCAGTTCCTGCCCGAAGATATCATCATTCAGACCTTCGAAGGCTGGCTGCTGATCAAGGCTCAGCACGGAACCAGAATGGATGAGCATGGTTTTATCTCAAGAAGCTTCACCCGACAGTATAAACTGCCAGATGGCATTGAAACCAAAGATTTGTCTGCCATCCTCTGTCACGATGGAATTCTGGTGGTGGAAGTAAAGGATCCAGCTGGGACTAAGTGAAATCTTACCAATCCCTGTTCAGACGGCAGGAGGAAGATTATAGCTCAGCCAATGGTACCACAGGAATATTTGTATTAATCATATTTGAGATGATTTTTATGAAGATTAAAAATAGAGACATAGTTCCTGGTATGTTGAGGTTGTGTTTGTTATTCTTACTCAAAGAGGAAAATTGTTAAAATGTTCTTCTGGTTCAAAGCAATATTATTCTTACACCTGAAACATTGACAGTTTAAGAGAGGACTTGGATACTAGTAAAGACTCAGAACTGTTTCTTCATTACTCCAAAAATGCCACAGAAACTGCATTTGTAATAATTGATGGCAAAAGAGCCATACGAATTTCTCATCCATTTTATGAAAACTTCTTATATTGCTAAAAAATGTTGTGATTCCCTTCACTTGACAAGCTTTTGTTTTCAATGAATTTTAATTAAAGTGGAATTTGTAAATTCCAAAGGTCAAAATATAGTACTTAGAAATCGGGCCTGAAATATATTTGATTCATCACAGCTGTTACTGCCTTAAACATAATATTTGAATTTTCAGATATAAATTTTATTTTTAAAAGGTTCTAAATATGTACCTCATTTTTTAAAAGCTGAACTGAGTCTTATTTGAATCTATTTTTGACAACAGCATATGTTCTGTGGCTATTTCTGCAATATTACAAAGATATATGTTGACTCAGATTCTTATAAGTTTGTATTAAGTTTAGGAGACCACTTTTAAAAGTGTAATTACTGAACTGGAAGAATTTTAATCTATGTTCTTTGATGCTACTTAAAATTTTAGATTTCCGGAGACAGCAAAATGTACCACATCTGCTCTCTCTGCATAATCCTTAGCTTTAAATAGCCTGGCAGGTAGTAGAGGTTTCCAGGCCAGAGCTTGCACGGGGGCTGAGATGGGCTGAGACATTGGTGGAGGTTAAGAAGTTGCTTTAGGAATACTGCCATCAGCAGCTGGTCTGTGACATTCCACAGATTTGCTATCTCATTCTGTACATGCTAAATATTTCTTGGGAGGAAGTAGCCGCTTTAACCCACACCCCACGTGTGCTGCTGTGCACAGTGCTAGGAATAGAAGGGGCTGGAAAGAACCAGGGTGGACGCAGGCCACTGATGACACCCCTGTGCTCCTTCACAGTGCTTGTCGTTTGAGTGAAAATGCAAGAGACATGAAGCAATAGAAAAAGAAATCAAACAGTTCTGAAAGTAGTTTTGAAAGCAAATGTGATCGGAGAGATTTGTTTACAATATAATTACAATTGAAAGGATTTTGAAGCTCTGTGTTAATGCTTATACACTGAAGTTTGTGTATCTGAGAAATTTTGTTTGAAAAAGTGAATATAACAGACCAGCTTTGCTACATTATCATAATTAATTATCATAATTATTATCATAATTAATGGGATTACATTTAGAGCAGGGATATCATTTGTCCCATATTAGATTATTCTCTTTCCCAGTGATTGTCAGGATGGTGTGAAAACAAAGTAGTACTTTGAGAGACCAATCAATAAGCAAAAAAATCCCTCTCATTTGGCCTGAATCCTACTTTAGATGAGATCCTACTTCTGGGAAAATTCAATAAGTAAAATTGTTTTTTAAAGATTTTATTTATTGGGGTGCCTGGGTGGTTCAGTTGGTGAAGCATCTGCCTTCAGCTTATGTAATGATTTCAGGGTCCTGGGATCCAGCCCCCTCCTTGGGTTCCCTGCTCAGCGGGGAGTCTGCTTCTCCCTCTGCCTCTCCCCCTGTTCGTGCTCTCTCTCATAAATTAAAAAATATTTTATTTATTTATTTGAGAGAGAGAGAGAGTGAGTGTGCATGCCCGGGGTGGGGTCAGGGGTGGGGCAGAGGGACAGACTCCCCACGGAGCAGGGAGACCAATGCAGGGAGAGCCCAGGACCCCGAGATCAGGACCTGAGCCTCATGACCAGAGCAGAAGGTGGACTGAGCCACCCAGGCTCCCCAGGAAGTAAAATTGTTACCATGAGGAGCCACTGATAGAAACTTTTCCTTTAAAAATAAACACTAAAGTAGCCACATCATCCAATTAGCATTTTTTTCTGAGATAAAATTTAAAGTATTACACAACCATTTTTTGGTTTGGAAAATATACAAAATACTATAAAAAATTAAAAAAATTCTTATTCCTTTATTACTATGAGGTTGCTACTTTAAACTTCTAGTCCAGTCTTCCCTTACATATAAAAACATGTATCACTTTTCATGAAATTAGGATAATATTTGCATCAGAGTTTGATAGGCCAATAGTATTGGTTACTGTCCATTGTCTGCCTCACTTCATGCCAACCCAAACCCATGCTTCGCCCTTGTCAGCCCAACTCTGAGCCCAAGCAGGCTGACCCCCCTGGGCTGACATCATTCTAGTTTCCCACTGGGTTCCTACTATGGGAATGCCGAGGGGAGACCAGAGACTGGAGAGAGAACACTGGTGGGCAGGAGGGGAGAAAGGTCAGGGCATTTCCTTCTGTCAACCTGCTGTAGACGAGGCGCTGGAAGGCCTGTGTCCCTCCAGGACTACACCTCTGGAGAGGTGGCCCCTCCTCTAGAGCTCCTACTTGTACTGGGCTCGGGTGTTCTGATGCCGTTTCTTCCTTTTGTCCTGTCAGCAGTTGGGGTGGTGATGTTTTCTATCCTTTTTTGTCCCTGGTGCTTCACCATCCTTTATCGATTCCTTTGACTTGGCTTTGCCATAAATGGTCCCTTCATTAAAGTCCTTTTCAGGTGATGGGATTCTGTTTCTCTCCAGAACTCTGACTGCTTGACTTCTTAAGTGATTAAAAAAAAAGGGGGGGGGGGAGGACATCACTTGCTTTTATTACCAAACATTAAGATTTGTAATGGCTATGCACTCTTCCAACACAGATAACCGTGGAATAATTTAACCATTCCTTTTCACTACTGGTCCCAGCAGGAAACAGATAGCAATGTCAAAATTAGAATAAGTTAAATTGGAATAGTTTATTTATAAAGAGAGACATTCCAAAGGAGTGGGCAGGGTGAAGAACTGCTGCAAGAGATAGCCTATAACCTGAAGGTAGCAGTGTGGAGCTGTTCTGGTTCCCTAGGTCCAAAGAGATGAGAGGATGAAGGAAGTCTCAGAAATCAAGCAAGTCAGATGGAGGAGTCCACCAGCTGTGACTTTCTTGTGACAGCCCCAGGTGACGCCTTAGTGGTGCCAGGAGAATAAATACTTTATCCCTCTAATCTCCTCCCAGGGCAACCCCCTTGCCAGATTTAAGTGGTAGCCCGAGGGCATGGACACCTTGTTGATACCGATCCACAGCCTCCCACAGTGGGGGGCAGGGTGGAAAAAAAAGTGAAGAGTTACTCCTGGGGACAAGAGGAAAATACCCAACATTCCTGTAAAGTGAGTACTGTTGTTACAGCTCTTTAAAAAAAAACAAAAAACAAAAACAAAAAAACCCAAAACTTTCCTACAAAATACAGCCTGAAACAAGTGCTGAGACTTTATTTGGGAAGTGCAAGCACAGAATGGTAAAAGTGAGAAAATAGGGGGAAAGAGGTGAGAAAAAATGGGAAGCAAAGTGAAGTGATGTGTTACCATGCTGGCCAACACTTCACAGTGAGCTATGAAGAGACTTAGCCAGCTCTTGGCGAGGATGTTGGCTTAGCACCTGGAACTTCTCCAGAAGAGTTTTGGGAAGAAATAAAATCTTAAAGCAATCAACAGGGAAGAAAAAAGAGGGAAGTTGCTTGCCTGGTCCCTACTATTTCCTGTTTCCCTTTAGTTAAGGTTTAGCTCACATGGAATAGACTGTCCTGCACTTCTGGTGTGTATCATCCAAACTCTTAGTGGCTGCTGGGAACACCAGACTCCAGACCCCACAGTGTGACATTTCATCCATGCTGGGAGCAGAAGGAGACTCAGCATGGTTAGGGCTCACTCAGGGTGAGAAACACGGGCTCAGGGTTTCACCTTGGCCTCCAGCCACCTTAGGAAAATTGGCAGCAGCTCTGATGGCAGGAGCATGGTCTATGAGGCAGGTGATACCCTCAGAAAAAAGAAGGCAGATGGAAAGGCACACACGGTTATGTATCCACCACAACCCCAAATCCAAAACTGCGGGAATGGGGGGGAACCAAGCAAATCACTCAGCTTTATGACATCTATTGTGTATGTACCCCCAGACTGCCTTCAAGTTTTATGGACTCTAACATCACCTTATATTTTAATCTTATTTTTTTATTGGCTTAAGTGCAAAGTCAGTTTTCTTAAACTTCTCTGGGATTTTTCTTTTCCTGTAGATTGTGGATCAAAGGTTTAGTTTTGTTTTAAATTGCCTAACTCTTATCCTGGAAGCCCAGAAGTCACTGTGATGTAGGAAACAAAGGTAGAAGAAAAATTATTAAATTTCCTCACTACTTACAGCCCACTGCCAAGTCCTTGAAACAGGCAGAGTGACCTTCCTCTAGAACTCAGCTGCCTCAATGTTAATACTTCGCTAAGGGCAAAAGGCAATCTTAGCCCGACCTTCTGGGAACCTGTAAGTCTACTTTTACATGTAAAAATTCCTTTGGGAACTTCCTTTATCTCTGTTCCACAAGATACGCACTGGTGATCATCCCCTAAGCATATGACCCACCGATATACATCTGAAGGGTCTCATCACTAAGGTCTTATTAGACAGTAATAAATGACCTTTTCCCGACAATAGCTAGCCTCCTCAAGGTCCTGGAAACCTTGCTTCCAAAATTCCTTAGAGACTTATGCTCTCCTTAACCCCCTCCCAACTTGAAAGTGTATAATGGGCCACTCCTCATGCTCCCAGCTCTGTCTGCCCATGGCTCCTGTCCTTGTGTTTAATAAAAGCACCTTTGTGCACCACAGATTTCTCAAGAATCCTTCCTTGGCTGTTGGGCTTCAAACCCTAACAGTCTTCCCTACATCAGTTGAAGACTTTGGTTCCTATGGGCCTCCCTGAGTCCAAGCTGCCCTGGGATCCTGAACGTGCTCTTGCCTTCTTCTCACCTACTTGGGATTGTCTGAAAATTGCTGTTAGTGGTCCTTAGCACTACAAAAAGTGATTTAAAGAAACACGAATGGCATACAACGTCAGGGGGAAATGATCAGAACACCTCATATCATTTCCTCAAGCTTAACAAAAATCTCTTTTTCACTAGTCACCACGGTTCTCTTCAGAGATTCTCAAACAATGAGTAAGAAAGAAGAATAAAAATGTTCATTTGGTATGCAAATTTACAGCTCACATACTACATTTTGAAAATAACTCTTTGTCTTAGAAATTGAGTTGGCCAGATGTCCCCCATCAAAATGTGAGACAGTGTTTTAAATTTGAAAAACAAATGATTTTAAGTAAATGTTTTTTTCTACCTTTCCTCTGCATTGTTTCATACACAAGAGCATGCATGTACATATAGTAATATAAAATCCTGTTTATTAATGTCTTCTAAATTTAAGGACAAATACAGTGAAAATCTATTGTAGTAAAATAAAATGGCCTATATGACCCACATTCTTTGTAATTTGAGATTTTCTTCATGACCTGGTGCATAGTTATTTTAAAAAATGTACCACACATGGGAAAGTTTATATTTTCTATTTGGAGTATAGTATATATATGTATATGTATATATGTAAGTAATTTTGTTATTTTATTGGTTCAAATATTCTTCCTTTTCTTGTTGTTTTATTTACAGCAACTAGAAACACACAGATTCGCATTTTAAAATCTTTCAGTATGAAAGGACAGCTGAAAACTAAAAAAAAATCATCTCGTCCATTTTTCCATCGTATATTTCCAGGTTGTGTTGTCATGTGATTTTACATTTACAATTTGTCTCAGTTGGATTATGTCTTACATTATTATGTAGGCCTACTCTATCTCCGTGTAATGTTTCTTGCATTGTTTTGTCTGATAACATCATTTTTTGTTTCATACTTTGCCATGACACCTTTTTTCCTTATATATTCAATGTAGCTCTGTCTTAAGCTTGTTTCTTAGGAGCGTTTGTGTGTTCCTCTTTGTTTCTTATTTTCCACAGTTTTCCTTCTGGGTTTCTGTCTCTTCTTAAGGTACCTTGTTATTTTTGCAAAGGTCTGCTGGTGGAAAACTCTCGGTCTTTACATGGCTTCGTTCTTGGATAATATTTAGGAGGGTATAAAGTTGTGGATGAGCAGTCATTTCACCTCCACCCTGCTCTGTGTCCCCAGGGGACCACTGTCTAGTTTCGGGTTGGAGTCACCCAAAGGAAGGTGCCAGCAAGGGAGCAGCATGTAGAATGAAAAAGATATTAGGGTAGTTTTTTTCCTCTGGTGCCTGCTGCTTTGGTTGCAGGTGCTGGCAGGGGCTGCCTCCCTCTGATATACAGCTGTGATGAGGGAGCTCCCTCTCTTGTGGCTCTAGCCCAAAGCCCACACTGGGAAAGTAGTTCTATTTCTTCCCTCATCCCATCAGGCTCATCAGGGTGATGGCTTCCTTCCCACTGGTCCTGGTCTCTGGGTGCCTACAATTGTGCACCAATTTTAATGTGTGTGTTTCTTTTTCTGATACCACCAAGCAATTCTGTGACACCAGCTGGGTGGCCTACAGTTCAACTCAATTTTAAACACTCTACCCAGAGAGAAGGCCCTTGGAGTTTTCTAACTGGGGAGGTATCTTTTGTTATATTAATATGACGTTTGGAAACCCTCTAAAGTAACCTAAGGACTGGGGCTTGTTGCCAGGAGAGCCAAACAGGTGATTTTTTTTTAATTTATTTATGATAGACATAGAGGTGCAGGGCGGGGGGTGGGCAGAGACACAGGCAGAGGGAGAAGCAGGCTCCATGCCGGGAGCC